AGGCGGAGGACAGGCGGAGGACAGGCGGAGGACAGGCGGAGGACAGGGCAAAGCACGCTGTAGTAACTAAATCAACACAGATGGTATTTCCAGAGTGAGACAGAGATCAATACCTGAAGAACTTGCAAAAAGGAAGGAAGACAACAAAACAGGCAACAAAGGAAGAAGTCATGAAGAACCTTCAATTCACATTCACTGTCCCAGAAGAAGGGACAACAGGAAATGAGGAACATGAAATAAGAACTGAGTTAAGAGCTTTTTGTTCCAAGCATTGCTGCAAACATAAGCAGTAGTGACTCTACAAGCACACAAGGGTCCCACAGTGTTACAGCAAAATTTGAACTTGAAAAACCTCAGGTACAGAGCACAGCATTTACCACTTCTAATGCCTTCACATCTACAAAGCTTCTGATGCAACAGGCAGTAGAATTGCACAGTGTTTTTCAATACATTTTGTAAGTGTTGCTATCATAGTTTTGTTTCACCATGAACGAGCATATTTATCTCCTCCTATTAACTGCCAGTATAATAGAAGGAATGACAAAAATCTTCTTTAACACTAATAAACACTGCATATCTTTCTGACTGGCTCCCATTTATTTCAACAGTACTTACTACAAAATGTTTATGTCTGCTGCAAGGCTCAGGTTATGCAAATGGAAATCTTCCTGTCTCATAGACCAGGTTTGGTTTTGGAAATGCTAGCTGAGATTATTCTACATCTGATGTGTACCTTGCCATTAGAAACAGAGCTGCTTAAAGACTCAGTATAGAAATTATATCGATGCTGAGACTTCAAAATTGTTTTAACAGTTTGTATGATACACCAACACAGCTCCTGTTCAAAGTACTTACCCCAGGTGAGTTTGTGGCAATAACTCACCCAGACAAGCAGATTCATCAGCTTTATAGAATACCTTAGGGCTGCTTAGCCATAGTCCTTATTTTTATACAATTTTAAGTCCCTCTTCAAAACACAAAGATGCTCTACTCCCACCAGTCTTTCCTATCAACACTGATCAGGTACTACATGTCTCACCGTTTCCAATGCAAGGTTTTGTAAGGTTTTACACTGTCTTCCTGTAATGGCACTTTAAAAAAAAAAAAAAAAAAAAGTGCTCCACTGTTATTAGAAGCTAAAAACACTGTGCTGGCAATGGGAAAAGCCAGTAAGAGAGAGAAAACCATTTGTCATCACTTGCCACTGATGGACTAATTCCCTTTCTTCTCCTGAAAAAGGCTGTTCTGATCTGTGGGAATATATTATATTACATTCCAGTTTTCAGTCGTAATACAAATAAATTATTTTAGCATCAATCACTACATTTAGCATCGATAAATTCAATCTGAAGCAACAGTTCAGTGAGCATATATTTTCTTTTTGGAGAAAAAAAATCTAAGATCAACATATATAAAACTAAGAAGATTGTACTGATTATGAGCACATCAGAATTTGTACCTCCCACATGAGTTTACCTCCTTTCTTCCTCTATTCTTTCTCTGAGAAAATGATCTGTGTTTAGAGCTGGACTAACAGGAGCAATCCTCATCTTAATACTTTCTAGACAAGTGAAAAAGGAAAGCATGGCTTCACAGAATCACCACATGGTTTTCTGACTACAGCGAAGATCATCCTCTCCCTTCAGGAAAAGAATTTAAATTGCCTTGCAAAAAAATCTTCCCAAATAATCGCTTAAGAATTAAGCCACGCATACAAGTGGTTGGATGAACTCACCCCAATGTCTTCATCACTCTGTATGAGCTGTGAATGTCCAAAGAGACGTCTCTTCAGAATGGGTTCCACTAGTGTAAGGTACACCATGTACAGAAGAAGTAGCCCCAAAATAGACAGGTATATGATGATTGTAACCTGCACAACACAAACATTATTTATCCCAGAGTTATGACATTACCTCAGCCACCTCTCACCGGGCAGTGATGAACAAAAGAACTGTACAGTCAAAGTTTTTGATGAGCCTGACACAGTAGTGTCACTATGACTTGAAATTCATGAACAGCAAAAAGCCATCACCCATTAAATTGGTATTACAAGGTTTAAGGGCAGACAGATAAATTAGCTTGAAACAAAGTCTCTCTTAGTGAGGCCTTGCTGAAGTCCTATGCTATCCTTCTTGAAACAACCTGGTGTTCTCTCACCTTAATCAAGACTACTAATCCACAGCAATTAAACTGGTCACAAATTTTGGGGTTCCTGCATGGTCTCTATTCTCTAGCATAGATCCACATTCAGTCACAGAGCTCACAATGAAACAGGAGAAGAGGAAAAACGCAAAATCCTGAAAAGCCTCCTAAAAAAGGAATCAGTATAATAGAAG